TCGTCATCAGTCCTCTAAAGTGCTTGTTTCAGTTTTGTTTCTGGAATTAATAATACACGTTTTTACATGTGAGTGACCCTCTAGTGAGGTGAATATTGCAATCTGAAGCATGACTTACATTTTGCAATAGAAGGAGTTCAGTTTCATTTGTTTGATCTTTGCTTCTTTAGCTGGATATTGTCTTTGCTGATATTATCTGATTTATTGGTTTTTCTTTTTCATCCCATCTATAATTCTAATCATGTGTTTAAAAAGTGTTTAGTTCGAGGGCAGTAAGAGATCTTGCAGACCAAATTTGAATTAATCTGTGGCAGTACAATACTTTTTCTCTCCCAGAAGTGAATAATCATCTTAAATTCACATTAAATCTTTTTGTGTTACTTGAAAACTCACAGATTAATAAATTCAAAGCTGTCAGTTTCTGCACTCATGGAATGACAGCAAAGGTGAAGTTCATGTCAGGGAAGCCCACGTTCTTTTCCTAGACCCTGGAATACAGGGGAAACAAGGACCTGCTAGGATTTTTGTCATGGGAATTCTCTTCTGAAAGATTTTAGGCATCACAGTTCAAAACTTTACATAATGCAGTCCAACTATTAGGAGAAAAATAAGGATGACCAGGGTCAGTGGTGTTTACCTCGGTTACCCTTATGTGCTCTCAACCTCCTGGCTGCTGTCAAGATCAGTTTTTGGTATGTCATAACCTAGCTTCCATTTCAGATTGTCTTCTTACATAAGTAACTCTAGTGCCTCCTCAGCTGTGACTGTTGCTTTCAGAAGTGGTGTAATTGAAACTCACATTCCTTTTTCCTGTGTCATCTCAAACATCAGTTCTAAGTGGCAGTAGGAAAACTCAGCAACATAGTGATTAGTTTTTCAATTTTCTGTTCCTTTCCAGAGCAGAAGGTCCCTGGAGTTAAGAACAATTTTGCTTTTTATATTTTTATGTAGGCACTTGTCTTTGCAGTGATAAATTAATGCCAGTTTACTGAAGGTGTCTTAAGTTCCTCCCTTTAAAGGAAATTTTTATAATTTCAGATTGGCATTTATAAATTAATAAGGTTTTTTTGGCTTTGGTGAGTTTTTCCCCTTGGATTTCTCCAACGCAGGACTTTTTTGTGTGTATCACAGTAGCTCTTCGCTGCAGCTTGAGCTGTGATCCCTGGGTAGGCAAGCAGAAAGGCAAATGCAAGCAGCTAATTTTATGGTTTGAAATAAAGTGAGATTACACTTAAATATGTATGCTTTAGGAGCAGGAATTTAATAAAATGTTGCAACCTGGTTGCAACTCTTAAATAAGCAGTGAATGTTAGCCTAGATGTGGTAACATCCAACACTGTCATGCACCGTGGAGGTGGGAAAGAGAGGTTCTGGATAAACACACGTCTGTAGTTTTACACTGTTTTATGTAAAACTATCTGAATAATGAATTGACGTTGCGCTCTTCTGTAGTCATATCTAGAACACTACATAGGGATAGAAGATGCTTTTTCTCTGTGTGACGCTTAAAGATTTCAGAAAGGAGCTAATGAAAATCTAGTAACAGTTTGTATAATACAAAGATTAGGTAATGAAACAGGAAGAGAGAAATGAAAACCCATCTTTTGCAATATGGAGGAGAAGGCTGCAGGACTACAGTTAAGGCACTGAATAATAGATGATTCCTATTCTGACAGTAGTTTCCTTGATATAAAATTATGAAGGTAGTTGCTTGGTATTCTTCTGCTGTGTATTAAAATTTCTGAAGTTTCCTTTTCTTCCAGTCCAGGAATAGATTACTGTAGAAGCATAGCTGTGTGAATGATTTTGTAATCTGTCTCACAAAATGAAGGTTAGAAGGGAAGACCAGCATTTTTTCTATCTCTTGGTGTAGTTTATCACTTGAACATCTGTCTTCTGTCAACTTGCCTCTAAAACCCCTACACACTTTTCTTTTTAAGAGAACATACCTTTGTTTTGCAACTACAAGTTTGAGCTGATCGCATACCAGTTACTGGTTGTCTCCTGGTAGTGTGTTATAGTGTATCGCTGTTATACTTAAATCCTAGCATTCGATATTATTTTAGGACAACGAGTAATTCGTCCCATGACACCCTCTGTCATCACTTGCGCATACTCTCCATCTCTGTCATCTGTTAATGACGAAGTATTTTCTTCCACTCCGAGAGTGGTTAGCTGTAGGTACATGTAATCCGAGACAAAAACCACACTTCTGAGCAGTTATACTGGTGTGCTTTGTCCATGGCCAGGAAGGTCACGAGTGGCAAACCCTTTCTTATCCCAAAATCAGCTTGCTTTTTTTGTTTTTTGTTTTTTGTTTTTTTTTTCCCCTCCAGTCTTGGGGTAAGCAATAGGGACTGGTGGCTTTGTAGGTATGATGGTATAAAAAAACGGCACTGGCTGTCCCTCACGTTGGAGCTCTCGGAGCCATCAAGGTCATCTGTGCCTTCACAACACATAAGTTTAGAGGTACACAGGATGGAGGTTGACTTCATGGGGGAATAGAATTGTTGAAAACAAGATGAAAAATCTTTGAGAGATCATCTGTGCTTTTTCCCCTTCCCTTTGGAGATGGGTCAGGTATTGCTGACCTGCCCCCGAGAGATTTTTGTCAAACCTATTTTTAAAATTCAGTCTCCATTAATGGAAGTTTTACAACTTCTAAACTATTAATCGATTTCACTGCCTTAATTACAGTTATTAAGATAACTGTATAAATACAGTTTATTTCCTTTACTTAGTACCCTGTGTGTATCAGAGATAGCTATGTGCTTTTCTTTAGTCTTCTCTGAAGGTTTTACTCAAATTTTTGCAATACCAGACTTTGAACTAAACTGTCTTTATGTGATCTCTTTATCTAGGGATGAGCTAATTACTTTTAATTCATAGCGGTAACTCAGTTCATTCAGGGCAGCAGAATTTTGTGTAATTATTGGCTGCAGATGTAAACAGTAACTGCCTTGCTTTGGAGGAACTAAGATGTTGCTTGAAATAAATAAACATAATTTTATTTAATTGTTCAGTTTTATCCTTCTCTTTTACAGCTATAGTAATTTTATGTTCCTTATCACAATTTAAAACTCTTCTTGTGCCTTTTACAACTTCTCTGTGGGTTGTGACCTATGGTTTAACAAATAGTCCTTTAAATCATCTTCTACTCTCCCGCTTAGTTCATACCTTTCATAAAATATGATGTGAAAATTGAAAAATGTGTTCAGGGCATATTATATCAGTATTGAATAAAACAGGGTTTATTAATGTATGCTTATATTGCACCTCGTATTGGAGTACTTGCATTATTTTATCTTTTTCTCTGATAGTGTCTCACTGTCAGTTTGTGATCAAGTGTAGCCCCTGGATGCTTTTCTGCGAGCTGCTCTTTAACTGGTCATTTCCCAACTCTTAAGTTCAGTTGTTTATTTCCCCTGTGCACCATACTTTGCCCCTGTTGTATTGTATCCTGTTTGCAGGAGATTCTTCGTCTGGTTTGTCAGAACTGACTTGCCTTCCACAGTGTGTGCTGCCTCCTCCTGACTTGCTGTTACCTGCGTTCCCCATCCATGTACTTTATTTTGCCATATACAGGCCATGGATGGAAACTCTGGACTGTAGCAAGCTGAGCTTCTGCGTCCTCTCTGAAACGGCAAATACACATTAGTAAAACTGTACTTAAATTCTCTACATGTACTTTTTCTAACTGTTTTTGTACCTGCTCAAAAGTAATTTAATTTTCAACTTACTTTCCTACTTTATATATGAGAATGCTATGTGACCCAATGACAGAAGTGTTACTGTAGTTAAGATGCTTTTCCTCTACCCACCAAGAATGTTACCTGATCAGAAAGGAAAACTTGTTGATGTTGCACTGTTCCTGAGGAGCTGGTGTTGCCTTTTATTTGTTGTGTTATTTGTGTTATCTTGTTAAGTGCTTTAAAAAAAATAATCTCCAGTATTTTTTTTTTTGAGTGTTTTGAAGTTGTATTGACTGGCCTGTGAATTCCTGAATTTGCCTTTCTCTCCTTTTTAAAGACAAAAATTGTTTAATTTTCCTAGTATTTTGGAACCTCTCCTGCGTTTGATGAGGCCTCAAAAAAAGCTGTTTGAGGGCATTATGTTGTTTAGGAAACTTACCTAAAAGCATTGGCGGATGAATGTCCTTAGATCTCACAATGTTCGAAATACTTAACTATATAGTCTATGATATGCATTTTTCCTGTTCAAATCTATTTATTTTGTAATTGCTACAAATTGTGCTACTCATGTTTATACATGCCAGTGGAAGCAAAGAAGATATTGAACACCTTTTCAGTGTATTCCATTGTTAATTTTCTGATCTTACTGATTTAGCAAGCCTTATTTGTAATCCTATGTGTTCCTTACTTTCCTAGTTATATCTCATTTTAAGTCTGTCAATTTGATAATTTTTTTTTTTTTTTTTTTTTAAACAGAATTCCTGCTTGGCTACAGCTGTGTCTCTTCTAGGCAGAAGATGATGTCAGCAGAGCAGGCTGTGGCATTGCAGGGCTTCACAGCTATTTCCTTGCCTAGTGTTGTCTTTGCTTACAGAACTCCTGTTTTGGTCTCCTGTTTGCTGGCTTTTACATTATTTATGTCTACTTCAGCCCACCTTTCTCCAGAGGATTCATCTATTCAGAGAAGTGCATTTCAGTGGAATTTTAAATGGTTTTACCCCAATTTGAAAAAAGAAAAAAGGTCAAAATTTCCTTTGCAACAGCAGATCTGAACCTTACCAACTCTCCAGATAGGCTTTTTAGTGTGTATGTTTGTTAATAATAAAAATACATGTTAAAACATCTAGGTGCTTACTACTAAAGTTAGAAGTTGATTTAATGAAAAATGGGCTAACATACTCTAGTGGTTGTATACATAAGTACTGTATGTATATCTTTACGCAAACTTAAGAAAGTGTGTTGTTTATGGATATATTATAGAATGCTTTTGAAAACTTGTCTGTTAATAATTTAATTTTAATTTTACAGCACACACCACTCAGGCAGATGAGAAGACAGTCCCTGGTACTCCTACAGATGCTAATGCCAGAGCCTTATTGTTTTGCAATGGACCTTTAGAACATTATGACTTTCTGATTAAACGAGAAGAGCTGAGAAATGATGAACAACAGAGAAGAGTTGTGCAGCACCTGCAGAAGTTGCATGAGAGCCTTAAGGGCTACAGCATCAGTTCAAAAAATTTTCTCTCAAAGGTGAGGTTTATAATGATAAAAATATTTTTTTGCATTTATATTTGCTCATAAGAATGTGCTTAAAATATGTTTTTATTAAAAATGTATTTCTGTCATTAACATGAGTCTTATTTTTTCAGATGGGTCTGTACAGATAGATCTTTGCTTGTGTTTGGATCTCTGTTCTTTCTTTTTTGGTTTGTAAAATTCCAGTAGCACTCCAGAAGCAACTAAATTAAATATTATTGAAATAATTCTGTGGGAAAATCTGATATGATTTTGGTTGTGTCCGCTGTCTGCCTTTCCCAAAACGTCGTTTGGCTAAAGGAGAGAGGGGCCTAGACCCGGTTTTAACCTTCAAGTGCTGGTGTAACACATATGTGTTTGGATTACACATATGGAACACTGATGTTTTTTGTTCTAACAAATCTTCCATGAATATAAATGAAATTAGCCAGCAGAGTCTAAGTAATCCAAGCTAAATAATTTAGCTTTGCAAAATACAGTATAGATCAGATACAACTTTCTGAATAAAATGACCATTCTTTCCAGTGTTGTTAGTCTCCAGCTGAGATAAGGAAAGAAGGCAGAGGTGTGATTTGTACCCCAGTTGTGTTCTTGGGGGCATGACAGCTCCTTTTCAAAGTATTAACAAAAATTCAGATATATCACTGTTGCGCAGTGCTTTAGCAACCATAGTGCCTTAGCATTAGTAATGCTAATAGCCTTCTGTTGCAGCTCTAACTTTTCCCTGAAGTTGTTGGCACAGTGTTTTCCAGAGACTCTGTGGCAGTATTTTTCGTGTCTTGTTCTCATGCTGCTATTCTCAGATTGCTGCTCTTGTGGCCTTGCACGTGCAAATCTTGATAACATTGTTATGGCAGGTTCCCCTGGGAAGCAACTAGAACTGGTGTGAGAATCCCCCTTCGGTTTTACTTGCCTCTTGTTGTGTAGATTTGAGTTTTATCCCAGAAAACCAAACATAGTGCCCAGCAAAGTAGATATTAGTCATTTAAATACTCGGTAAATATTAGGCAATCATAGATGCGCACAGAAGCTGAACAAGCAGTGAATATGCTTAATTTGCACCTGGTTAACGTACTCCAGTTGGCACAAATAGTCATAAACATGGTGGGGGGAAACAACAATAGGGTGTTTGACTGAGTCTGATTGCAAAAGTATAGTTCTGGGAAAAAAAGCATGGCAAAATATTCATTGCTATAATCGTCTTCACTTCTCCTGCGTGCCCTGGAGACACATCTCCCTACACCTAAGAGGGGATGTCTAGAAGCTGTCGCTGCTCCTCTCAGCCAGGCACTGAGTATTCTCATTTTTCTTTCTCTCCTTCTCTTGCACCACTCTTGTTTTTATTTTTTTGTCAAAAGTAACTTTTATGTTTACAGTCAATGTATGCAGTCAGCTGCAGACCCTGCTAACAAATCTCAGTGTCAGCCTTCCTCAGCATCTGTTCTGCAACACAGCCCGTCTCATGGGCATAAATCTAAATATCTAAGTCTGTTGGACTTGTTACCTAACCATATAGTTCTCATTTAAACCCCAATACTGCATTTTGTTTGCATGGTAAAGCCTAAATGATGTAGCATGAGATCAGGGGAGATAAAGCCTACAGGCCTCTAAATGATGTGCTGTTCTCTGCCCTTGAAGCACCAAATGACAATTTACATTGCAAGGGCCTTGGAGTGGTATATTAGCTTCAAGGCATTAAAAAAATAGAGAACACTGGTATGAGAACAAGTAGTATACCTGTACATGACCTGTGTTATGCTTGTAAATATGCCTGTTTCAAACAGGCAGGTATGGCAGGGTGCTGAGCATTGGGGCACATGCTTGCTTATCAAACTGCCCCCAACATTTCTTGAATACTTTAACTCATACACTTATCTGGAGATCATGTATTTGCTAATTGTATGCTTGACTGGAAATACTGTAAATGTCTTCCTGCCTCCTGATGAAAGGAAGCGGACTAGATACCCAGGAAGGAGCTCCCTCCCCAACCCCGCCGAGTTATAGTGAGAAGAAACCTGAATGGGAAATAATTCCATGGAGCAGAAGTCAGGCACTCTGGAAGGAAAAACATTGAAGTGGGGAAGTACAGGAAGCAAAGTGCTAAGGCAAGACTAATCCTAGAGGGCAGTGAGTGTGTCTTTGGAAGTTCTATTCTGAAAGCAGTTAACCTAGCTTTAAACAAGGGGTTTGGCTGTGTGATCTGCCCGGTCCCTGACAACCTGAATCATTCAATGATTCTAACTCTAATGTGGGAATTGCAACCAAACAATGCTTTGGGGTATATTTTTACCTGCTCCAGCTGGTGGTTTAGCTTGTCACATTGTTTACCTTTTTACTTTTGGGATTTCTTTAATTAAAATCTATTAAAAACATAGGAAGCATGTAAAAATGACAAATACAGTCTGACAAGTATATATTTACGGTATGTTTAAAATATTTATTTATATTGTATTGTGAGACAACAGTATGTGGGTGTGTGCCTGAGGATCCATGTTGTCTTGATGTTTTTGTAGGCTAGCTCTCGAATCTAAACCATCTTCCTGATTCAATTTGGGCAAGTACCAAATACAAAATATAAATTTCCTCTTTCAAAAATGGTTATTGCTTGTCTTTGGTATACAAATCAATATGGCAGTGTGCCTGAAAGAGAACTGTTTGTGTAAGGAGATCATGCTGTATTCAGCTTGCCAAACTACACCTGTACATGTAATCTAGCAGGCCAGAGTTTTGCATCTTGAGGATACGCAATGTGAAAAGGTTTTTTTGTCTGTCTGGATGACTTGTTAATCTTTAGTGTTGAGTTCATAATCTTTTAAATTGCCTGTCTCAGAATTGACTTTAGACACTGTACCTGGACTGTAAAAGAGGAAGTAACTCAAAAGGAAGCCAGTTATCTATCTGGCTTGCTCCTACATTATCTTTTGGACATACTGCCAGACTTTTGTTCATTTTCAATCTTCAGAAGAAATGCTATGATGAAGGTGTTGGTCTTACTGTCAAACCTGAGGATAAGTAGGCTAGAGCATTTTGATCTTTTCTGGTAACGTGTTTTGGACATCTAGACATTCTGTTCTAAAAGTGCTGCCTTTGAGAATAGTTTTGAGAGCTGACTTTTGTTAACTGGAGTGCCCTGAACCATTATAGTTGTTAGAGCAGGTGCCTTGTAATGGCTTTGTAGATCAGGCATTATGTGGGTTTGTTATTTACTGTTTCTTTGATTGGGAAGCTTGAATAGGGAAGAAAGTCTTTATTGCAGAGAACAAATACTAATCTTATCCTATTTAGGAAATTGTGATGCTACTTTGTCGCTGTATAACAGCTCTAAGCTCAGTAAAGCCAGCCTGACTGACACTTTCTTAAAAGGAGACAGTCAAATGCCACTTCTAGGTTGAGAATATGGTTTTCACTAGTTCCTTTAAGGCACTCCTCTCTTTCGTTTAACATTGCTTCAATCCCATGCTTTAATTTTAAACCAGCTTTTAAAAATTGTTGCGCGTCTTGCTGATACCTGGGAACTAATGCCGCAGTCAGTGAGAAGCAGCTGTAGAACTACTTGCTGTTGAGGTAAGTGTTGTTGCAGTTCGAGGTTTTTCTTCTAAATATCTCTGTGGAAATCTTAAGAAGACTGATGACTGGGTTGAGCACCATGGTACCATGTCATACATCAAAACCCCAGAAAGGAGGAGAGCAATGAGTTTTGTGTGAATCTGTTAAAGCTAGCTTGTGTAATTAAAACAAATTATGGTTCATGATAGAGAAGTCACAACATCTTTATTTCTCTTCTGCTATCTTTGAGGAAGTTATTCACCAGTTCAAACAGAGTTCCTTCTGAGATAAAATAAAACCAAATAAAGTAGGGTTTAAATTCCAGTGCAAGCTGGATTTTGCTTCAGCAAAGTTGTAATCAACATCCTTAATGAAGGTTTTTCCCAGAATAAGAGTCACAACTGTGAAGAGGTAGTTGGTAAAATCGTAACTATCAAGCACCATACCAGCTGTAGACAGTTTTATCATATGCTTGTCGTATGTTTGCATCTGTTGAGGAGTTTTTGGAGTAAGCAAAATATGTGATTCTCTGCCATGGGCTTTCAGGGTAGGGATGCTGTTGCAGACTTAGCTGAGTTTTGAAAAGCAGAACAAAGGCTTTTCCTACTGAGAAGAGGTGGTGGGTACTGCTCTCTGGAATTGGCCTAGGTTTAATAGGATTTGTGTAGGTTTATGAGTGGAAGTAGTTCATGTAACTATTAGAAGACATCTCCAGGAAGTACTAAGGATACAGGGCACAGGTAAATCCTGTATTTGAGAATAGCTTGTTTGTACTCTTCTCCCATGAAGGCCTGGTAACTTTGAATATGCTGTGAAGTAAAAAATAAACCTTATAGTACAGCTGTGAACAATAGTTTTTATGATGAAACAATTTGCATTGATTTTCCGTAACGTTTTGTATTTAATGGGTTTTAATAGAGGTAATGAAACAAATTAATGTATTTTAAATTACTTAAGGACTTTTTTGGAAATCAGTCAAACACTTTAATCAGTTACACAGAGTAATTTGTAGGTTGATGTTTTGCTTTTTCAGGAGGCTTCTAGCAACTTGACTAACCTACCTTTAGCATGAAATCTACTGGCAGCTTTTTAGAAATAAAAAATAGTGGTGCTTGGAATTTCAAGCATGCTCATTTTTCCTGGCTCGGTCATTGAAAGGTATGTTGTTGAGAGGTTGCAGTGAAGAAAAGGGGAGGGGGAGAGAGAGAGAAGCCTCTCTCTGTTGGCCTCTCCTGTAGTCTGATATTCCTTATTATATTGCCTAATTTCGTATGTGATAGAATTGCAGAAGATAGATAACAATTATCCCAGAAATAGAGACTGCTTGCATTTCTGAACCATTACAAGAATGGTGTGCTTTGATTTTAGTTTTGTTCAATTGTTACTTTCTATCTAAATAGTTTTGTTCAATAAAAATATGGTAAAAGTAGGATTAGGGAACAAATATTTGTATCAGATACAATAGGAACATTTCAGTGTTTATCTGAGAGCCTTGCATTACCTCACAGGCCAAAGCTTTCTGAAATGAGTAGTTTGGGGGTGGGGGGACATGACACCAGCTATTTCCTTTTATAGTAATAGAACTATGTATTTTTTTATGATGTAGAGTTTTTGGGGCATTGGCTTAGAATGAATTTGAGAGGAAAAAACAATTAGTCTTGCTGCAAAGCAATTAGGCTTCTGTCTTTCAAAATTATTACTCAAATTTGAACAATGACTTTGATCTTCAACTTGGTGAAAGCTTGGCCTTGAATGTTGGGATATTTTGAGATCCTCTGAATTAAAGTTCAAGGCTGTAAGAGTTTGCATAGATGTTTCAGATCTCTAGCTTTTCAGAAAAATACCAATTGGGACATCTGAAGAGTTGTTGAGTTGCTGTACTAATGACTTGAAATAAGCTCAATTATCAGTGAGGTCATGTTTTGAAAAGAGGTATGAACAATAGTAAACACCATTCAAGACCTTGAAAATGTCTTCAGCTACAACAGCAACCAAAGAGAAGGTCTGAAAGAGTGGAAAAAAGAGGCAGTTTAGTTAGTGTTTGTAAGAAAATCTGTTGTTTGGAGACTTGTCTCTTGAATTTTGCATATTTTAATTAACCACCTTAGTAGTGTGACATGTATTTTCATCTAAAAGTTTCTCAAATCAGTGTGTAAATATTCCCAGGAAATTAGTTGCTTGCTTCTGGTGTCTGGAAGCAGGGAGTATGGGAGAAAGTGGGAAGGTGTTGCACATAATTAAAGATATTTAAGAAAGAATAAGAAGTTGTCAGAATGAAGGAGATGTTTTAACCAGTATAATTCCTTAGATGAGGTAGGATATTGTTTGATTAAAGTGAAGTTTAAACAAAAAATCAGATTATATTAGTTTCTTTTAGCTAAAAAAACATTGTTCTGTAACATGTTTTCTAGAAATGGTTAGTACTGGAGTGAGAATAAAATATGCCTAAAAAGACAAACTTCAGGATGGTTAAATGTAATTAGTAAACACTTTACAATGAAAAAAAGGGTATAAACATGTAGGCATTACTACTTGTTCTGGTTATATAACCTTTGCAAAGACAGGTAACGCAGTACGCTAAACATTGATTTGTTTTTCTAGCTTTGTGTTATTCCTTGTGAAACTGCAAATCATATTAATACAGCCTTTTAATGTAATAAATTTAATGTGATAGTCTTTTATCTTGTTAAAATGACTGTTAATCTCAAATTAAAAAGAAATAAATTCTTATGAATGTCTTTCTAATTTGGATTTTTTCCATTTCTCCTTTCTTCGTTGTGTAACTTTGAACATCAGTAGTTCTAATGAGTGTAAGCTCTTAGAAAGTACACACTGAAAAATGTTCCTCAATTAAATTATCTTGCAGTGCTTTCAAAGCACTAGCAAATAGTTGCAGCCTTGTCTATTAATGGAATGGTTTCAGAACATCTGAAACCCTGATCAGCCACAGATTGATGATACAAATTTTTGATTATCCTATTAATATAGCTCTAAATTAAATCCATAAGTGGGTCTTATATAAGAGCTATGCTTGCCTGTTTTCTGAATAAACTGGTACTATAGACCTGAGACATTATCTGTCTACCTTTTGGTCATATATTTTCTTTCATATTTAATTAGTGTTTTGCTATTGACTCCCTCATTTCTACAGCATGGCACTGCGTTTTCAAAAGTGCTTTATATTCAAGTTGTTTAGCAATTACCCAGCTCCAAATGAGACCACAGGGTTGTAATTTTAGTTTTCCTCTGTTTTGGCTCAGCTCATAGAACTCTGAAAGTGGAGCATTTTAAAGTCACCAAATACTCTTCTGCAGTATTTTTGTGGACGTCAATTCAGTTTAATGGATTTGATGAGAATTTTGTTAAGTTTTCCATTTTTTTTATAAACTGTTTCTTTTTTAAAGTTATATTTGAAGTGGCTATGCACAATACTGGGGGGAGGGGAGAGAACTATTTCAAATTGAAAGTCTTGATGTTATTGCAAGTTTTCCCATAAAAATATCTATTTGAGTAAAATAGTATAAACCATCAAGTGTCATAAAATATGCTCTGAGTAATATTAAGAGATTAAAAATTCTTAAGCAGTATTAATTCAGGATAAACGTACTCACTTGACAAAATTATTAATAAAAGGCATACTTTGAAAATAACCTTTTTATATATGTATACGCATACACGTGTATATAGGTACATATTTTTACCATGACTCCATTGATTTTAGTAATGTTTAAACTGGAGATAGTTCTGCATTTAAGACAGAGTGGAGAGAAGGGGGACCTACAATGCTTACTGGCTTGGCAATACTGATTTTCTAAATCCTAATGGTTTATATCTTAAGCTGAATTGCTTTAATGGGTATAAAGAGCATATATCTGTGAGTACTACAGTACTGCTTAATTTTAGTTAATTTTTCCTAGTTTTTCTCCCTATCATTTTTCCTGTTTGTTTAAATGATTGAGTGAGGAACAACGTTTGTTTTGCTGATGATGGACTGGGAAACATTTAATCATTTTATATGTGTCTTGTTAAAAAGATATGTGCTAAGACTGGGGATGGGAATATTTTCACAATGATCTGAAAAAAAACTCCTAAACCCTGCGTGTGTGGCCAAAGAAGAATTTGTCCTCTCTTACAGAATTCATACAAATGCAACATTGATTGCTTACCAATTCTAAGCTAATGAGTTATTGAAGTTTACACTTTGCTAGCTGGTGCTAGTTTGGTGGTTAAATGTAGCTACTTTCTTACTTTACCATAGCAATGTGTTTGCTTCTATTTTAACCCATATTAATATTTATTCTTATTCTCTTGATTTGCAGCTCTTTGCAAAAAACAAACCTCCAAAAGGTCTTTATGTCTATGGAGATGTTGGTAAGTTTCAGCTGCATCAATTCCAATGGAATTTTTTCGAAATGCATGTTTATTCAAATTCTGAAGTATCTAAAAGCTTCACATTTATGTAGCATTATTGCTTTAATTAATTTTCCAGGATTAGTTTTATTCCACATTATGATGTTATTTAATATAATTACACTCTGAATTCTGGAAGCTGTTGGATTGGACAATGTAGTCCGTGTGTAGTGTTTTCGACCGTTACCCACTCACTAATATTTAAGAATGCAATTTAAGAATTTAGGAAGTAATTGAGGGGGCCACGGAGAGAATGTATATATTCTAGTTGTGGCAATGCAGTGCAAAAACATGCATACTTTTCAAAAGGAAATACTAAGGATGTTTTCTGGATGCATCAAAACCATTTGTGGAACCTTTGGGCCGTCTTTGTATTAAAACAGAAAACTGAAAATGCAGTTGTTCCAAGTTTTTGAACAGAAAGTATAACTGTCCTTCAGAAACAGTCTAGTCTTGTACTTATTCTGTGGAAGACTATAGTTTCATTAGTTCAAAGCTAATGAACAATCATTATTGTAATCAGTACATACTGTTGTTAAATTAACTACCTGTTGGGTGTTTTTTTTTGTTTTTTATTTGAAGGCACAGGAAAGACAATGGTGATGGACATATTCTATTCACACTTAGAAGTAGAAAGGAAAAAGAGAGTCCATTTTCATGGCTTCATGCTAGATGTACACCAGAGTAAGTGCAGAAACAGGTATTCACAAGAGTTTTATGAAATATGGTATCTGTGGAAAAAAGTCTTTCTCATTCATAATAATCAGCGTCACTTTATTTAAGTATTTAGGCAAAAAAAGTAAAATGTAGGAGAGAAGTTAAAGGATTTTAGCATTGTTTGTCATACTAGAGTAGATATTAATTGCATATTATTTCTCAAGAATCTCTTCTCAAAGTTTCTGTGTACCTGACTGTATAGAAAACCTGGGTGTATATTTAGGATTAATCCTTAACTAAATGTTCTTCAGTTACCAGTTGCTTACACACAATCTGAAGAAGGTAATTGCTAAAAATTAAACAGTAGATGTTAAATTCAATCTGTATTGTGAATAAGCAATAACTTTATTGTGTGTAAATGCCAAGGAGAATGAGAACTATTCCAGTTGTCAAACTTAATAAAATTATCAGTAATTTAGAGGAAAAAAATAAGGAAGTTGATCCTAAGTTTCAGAAAATTTTCTAACTGGATCAATAAGGCACTTAGTTTTGATGGAGATACTGTTTTAGATATTTTAAAATTTCCTTCTTTTTATAAATCTATGACCTTAAAATACTGTGAAATTGTTAAATAATACTGTACTTTACAAGAATTGTGACAGCTGCATTTTTCTTGGGAAGTTTTGTTGGTATAAACAACTTCTGCCACTTCTAGTGCCCTTTTTTCTGTCATTGTTGGGTCACTGTTGAGGTTTTTCTGTTTCCACTTCTTGTCATTTGTACTTAACAAAGGTAGCTTCTTACTGCAGGATCTTTTGTTTTCTGAATGTTTGTTTTTGTAGGCAGATGAAATACAATCCATAAATCAGTAGTAATAATCTTACTTTGTGCCAGTATCGTCATCTTTACATTTTTAAAGATAATTGTATTGCTATGTCTGCGTTCTTTTAACTAAATGCATTCTAAGTGTACTTTCAGAGCATGCAATGCACGGAGCTGTGCCATCGATTTGTAAACACTATAAGGGTTTTTCGTACTCAGAGGGAAGATTAAGACAGAAAATGCCAAATGATAAACTGAAACTAAAACTAAGGTCATGAATTGGAGCAAGATAAAACTGTAATTTGTATCAGTTTTTAAAAAAAATATAGATTTTTGATAGTGGCATTCAAGAGTACTTTTACATATTTCTAAACAAGAAAATACAAATCACAGAATCTGAGAACTTTTAATGGTTGCCTGGATGTGGCTGAAAACTGCTTTGCCCTCTTGAAATTGGTCTAAATTTGAAGCTTTTTATTTTTACTGGACTGGGTTACTTTTTATTTGGTAGCTAAATTATTGTGTTCTCCCTACCTTAGAAAAATAAATATTTGTTCTTCTCTGTTTTATCAACTCAGGAATACATCGCCTTAAGCAGAGCTTGCCAAAGAGAAAACCAGGATTTATGGCCAAATCGTATGACCCAATTGCACCAGTAGCAGAGGAAATAAGTGAAGAGGCTGCTCTCTTATGTTTTGATGAATTCCAGGTAAGAAGTCAGAGATTACTCCTTCACTTCAAGGGAAACTTCATAAAATTACTTTTAATCTTAAAATATGACCCTCATTGCTGCTAATCTAGTATTTGAATTACTGGCCAGTAATGAACTGTAGAAATTGAAGAGTAGAACTAATTTTGGTTTTGAAGATTGTGGGTTTTGTTTTGCTTTTTTTTCTTTTTCTCCAGGAGATAAGATGCAAGTTGGCGGTATAAGTCCCCTTATGGTGCTTTCATTTACCAGCCTAGTTACTGGTCCTACAAGGGAGTAATAGAGTTTGCTGAGAGGCTCATGAGTGCTTCAGGGCAGGGACCATCATCCTATACCAAGTCTGTACAGTGCCCAGGAGAGTAGTTGCCTGATACTTACTTGGCATGCCTGATCTTTGCTGTAGTTCATATGTTGCAACAAAATCGTCTCAGTGTGATTAAGGACATGGAAATAACATGTCAAATTCAACCTAAATTCTTTCCTGGAGTTTTTGGAGCCTTTGTCATGGCAGTGCCAGATTATACTAGCGTAGCTAACATTTTAAGAAACTCTTTAATTTTCACATTTAATTCAATAAAATTCAATAATTTAATTCAATATAATTTTATGAGTTTTGCCCAAGGTAACTTGGTTGTTTCATTTGTTTTACACAGCTTGTGAATTTCATTATAAGTGCATATCACAAATTTAAGTGTAGAATTGCTTCACAAAAATTTTTAGGAGAGAAGCTAGAAGTATTTGGCAGCTCTAATCAGGTGAGATTTTTTTAATTCAGAGAGAAAATGCAGAGCAAGATGAGAACTGATCTGTGTTAGTTCTCAGATCACCAATAGTAAAAGAATCATCTATTGAGTGTAAATTGTCTGCGTTATGCTCTTAAATTAATACATTACTGAAATGGGTAGAGCAATTTATGTCTCCTAGCTATTACTTTACAAGCCTGCACGCCCAAGAAAATAACCAGTTTATGATCAGCTCCCATGAAGGGGCCTTTTGTAGATGTAAAGTAGTAGGTGTTTCTGGTTTAAGTTACTCTTGCATTTTTCGATAAGGGGTAGTCCTTTGATCTATGGTTTCAGAACATGCAGAGTCATTGCAATTGCTGCTGTTTGATCATTTAAATTGTGCTTGATCTACTGAATATGAATGCTTGGCTTCCAAAACTTGCAGTATAAAATCTAAATACAGAGGCAGTTGTATTTACACTAGGAGGAAATGGGAAGGTTGGAGGGGGGCAAGGAGGGGTGTTAACTGTCATGACATGAAATGCTCAAATGGTAGAAAAAGACATCTTTGCTGTTCCATGTATTAGTGTCAATACCTGCTTTTCTGAATAAATGCCCACTGCTTCTATATCCTGGTGTTGCTGTGTTTCTAGACTGCCTGGCATGTTTCCACATTTTAAGGGGAGAGACTGGTATTTTTTATTTTCAAATTGATTGCCTACTCCCCCTGCTGACTTGCTTGAGGTACATCAATCACTTCAGCTGTAAAAATCACCTGGTTTTTTGTTGGGTCATGGTCGGGAAAGTAATACAAGAACTATACTTTAAAATATGTATCTAGGACTTTGCATTCTTATGTGAATTTTAAAAAATATACTAATTCTGGGTATACTAACGTTCTAAATCGACAGATTTCTCAATAGCTGGGTTACTTGACTGATTTTCTGTAGCATGGAATGCTATGCAGGTGTTGCCTACTGTAGAGGAGTCCTAGCTTTCTGAAATTTTGCAGAAAGCACTGAATTTGGGATAAGAAACCCTCTACTTAAATAGCCGTAAATTAGTGCAGTGACAGGAAGAGCAGCTCACACGGTGGCACAATTAACATTGATAATTAGGAGCCATAGCTACTTCAGGATGTTTGCAGCTCAATTCTTCAGTGGAGATAATGGCTAGATTTCACTGCAATCTGTTTCACTCATGTTTAAAAAAATTGTTAGATTAAAATGAAACTGGAAAGAACTGGAAACTCAGAACATACACTACTCTGACTTGCAAGCAAAGCTACTGTCTGACAGATGGAGAGTGAAGTTGGGTCTGTACTACTCTGGCACTATACTTGTATGTGTAGGAAGTATAAGAAAATCATTAAGATTTGCTTGAAACACTGCAGGTTGCTTTCAAATACCTGTTGGAAAAAAAGGAGAATAGTCTGAAAATCTTTATTAATTTATTTATTTCTCTTAAGATCAGACACACAGATGAAAGATACTACGACAGGGACAGCAAATAGTAATATTAATACGCATATTTCAGAGGAAACCGAATACAGAACTTCAAAAGACAAAAGCATGGCTGAGGTTGCACATTCCTCTGACAGTGGACTAAAACAAAACAGAAGTACTCTGAAGTGAATCTTCTTGCAAGGCTTAGAGAACTGTTGAACAAGTGGAGAGTTGGCTAATTGATGTAGAAAAATATTTCAGTACTTCTAAAAGTAGTTTTGTGTGTTCCAAAATATTGTCATATTGAAAAAAAAATTACTGTTTTAAATGTTTCTTTTTGCAAACACTGTTTGGTAGTCAGGACCTTAGTGATGGCAGTAAGATTTTGAGTTTGTCCATTTTGAAGCAGGTTTTTCATCCGCATTTTCCTGAGCCACAGGCTCTTAGGATATTTGTCATACAGTTTATTGTAAATCATGAAAGTCTTAAGACATTATAAAAATGTGTCCTCAGTTATAATTTTGACATTTCAGAACATGGAGGTTGGCCAGTAAAAAGAGACTAGTTATTGTTTAATGATCAAATAGCTATACACAGGTAATTAGAAGCTCTAATTTTAGAGTGTGACTGTAACCTATGTTAGTTAGTATTGATAATGAAAACAGAATTCCTACTTCTTGGTAAACTGGGGGATTGTACGGTGTTAGTCTTTATATAGACCATTGATACCACTTAAAGCAAACTACAATTTAGGGACTTTTTACAAACCTGCATGCTATTAAAAGCCTCTAATAAAAATTAGGCTCTTATTTTTGTGCTAATACTAATTACTGATAATACATGCTTATGTTTGTCATTCATTACGTGGAACTGTACCAATCAGTGGATGACTGAGTCACAGGCACTTACACATGTAAATTAACTATTAGCCTAGTGTTTTTTCTTTTTTTTTTCTTTGTTTTTTTTTTTTTTTTTTAGCTTCAGTCATAATGGAAAGCAACACTAGATCATAAAAATTTTTTCTCTTAAATGCTAATGAAATTTCTTCATGCTCTCCATTAGCAGGCTCTCCTAATTGTTAATTTGTAGCTTTTGCTTTTGTTTCCTGTTGCAGTGTATGCTGCATACAGTAAAAACATAAGAAATAACAATAATTTAGTTACTATCTTCTAACTGCTTTGCCTTGTCAGGATTTTCTGTCTTTCCCAAGCTGATAAAAAGAGCTCATAGTTGCATCCCAATTCTCAAAATTGCTCTTGCTTTTTGACAGAAGTTTTGAGAGGTGGTGTGTGGTTTTTTTTGGTTTTTTTTTTTTTTGTAATGGAGTTGAAGGCATCGGAATTCCACATCAAAAACCAGTTCTCCTTAATAAGAGAATGTTATTGTTTTCTTTTATGCGAGCATTAATATTCTTTCCCTCCCTGTTTTCTAAAGGTAGCATATATATAGTATTTTTAAACAAAAAAGTTTGTAGCTATATAGATTTATATAATGCATTTTTAAAATTTGGCTGTTAGGTTTGTTTTGTGATAGACGAAATTCATTTGCTCCTAAAAGGCACACTGATTCCTTGTGTGTCTTGTTTTTCAGGAACTAGGAAATTTCTTAAATTTTTGTATTAAAAAAAAAATTATCAATAAGTGGATGCATAAGCAGATATGTTAAACATGTAGTACATGCTTTTTGGAATATCAGATCTAAGTGAACAGAGATGTGCCAATCTGACGGGTGTTTTACTGATTGTGTAAAAGTTTGTTTTTGAAAAAGGAAAAAAAATCCATATTAATGCATTCTATAGAACTAATTAGAATAAATCTTTGGAAGAATTAAACTGGTGTTTACATGTGTTTCCTTTTGAACATTATTGCTTCCAAACTAGCTGTCAGAAATGTAACCTAAATCTTGTATTGTCTCTAGTGTAGAATTATTTTTTTTTCTGCCCAGAAAGCTCATTTAGAAATGAGGGGATGATGGGGAGTG